GGGCGCTGGGGGTGCTCGTCGGGCTGGCAGAGCCCTTAGTGCCGCACCAGGGGTCCCCCAGCGCAGGGGTAACCCCCCCCCCCCCAAGGGAAACCGCAGCAGGCCCTGGTGATATTTATAAAATTATATATACTCAGTTTTCATGCTCTTGGCCCAAGACAGCAAGGGTCTAAGTTACAGCATAGACCCCGCACTCCTATGCAAACAGACACTAAACTCCTGGCTTGGATGCGATTTCGTTACATTTCATTTCGTTACATGCGCACTGACACTAAGGAAAACAGGTTCTGCTCTTGACAAGGCATGCAGTTGCGTGATGCAAGGAGCCGCTATCCTTGCAAGAAAGCTATTGAATAAGCTCGTCCACGGGTTACATTCGGTGTGTAGGCAAGTGTTTCATACTTTGGGGAACCTTTTTTTTTTCGAAGGACATAATTCCTCTGCCAGCAGCATGAGGACTCCTGGCCAAACGGAGAAACCAAGCACGATCACTGCAGCCACCAAGGATGTGATGACGCCAAGAACTCTCTCGAAGCATTTTCTGACCATAGCAGGCACTGACTCATGCATCATCCTAGGCTTCTATTAGAATGCACCAACGGTGTTAAGGATTTGGGGTTTTTGATGGCTTCAGAATTCTTCCAATCAAAACAGCCTTTGCAAATGCCCGTTGCTTACTTGCTCTTACGGTTTATGTTGACCTCACAATAATAATAAACACCCCTGCAATAACAATGTTCAAGGCCTGAAGCGCAATGATAAAATCCCTTACAATAACAGAGACCTCCTAGGAAATCTCCAGAAATTAGAAGCAAGAAACAGAACTAAACCAGAAGCTGGAACTGGTGCAGCAGGCCTGAAAGCTTGCCAGAGGTGTAGGAAAACTAATACAAATGCTAATGCTAACGTATACTAATACTATAGTCTATAATAATAGTACGAGTACTAGTACTAGTATTACTGAAATTAGCATATGTACCCAAAACCACCCAAACAAACAAGGATGTTTAGTGCGGGGAAACCCTCCCGACCAATTGTTCAACAAGGAGTGGGGTTGGGGGGGGACTATTTTACAATTGCGAGGTCAACAGTACCGTTCACGGTGTACTCCCTAGGAGCGACATGACCATCCGCATTTTCTGATAAAGTCGGTTTCGTGATACTATTGGTATGTAGCCAACGACCGTGGCGAAAATCAGGAGCGAGCACTGAGAGAGCAAGATGGTGAAAATGAGCTCAAAGAAGTTATGGCAGGAAATAAGATGACAGTAAAAGAGTTGCCGAAGCAATGGCAAGTGCCCCCTGATTGTCAGAGCATCATGGGTTGATGGCAAGGATTTCATGCCAATCAGAAGATGTGAACCGCTACATTGAGGGCAATGGTCAGCAGAGAGAATGACAGTAAGTCGAGAATGAGACATCAGTACAGGCACAAAAAGACTGTATCAGGGTGACTCCCTGAAATCAGCTCAAGTAAAATACCGATTAGGGTAGTAAGAAAGAACCTATAGCGATGCTTGCAAGAGTCACAGAAGCAGCAACAAAAACCGCACGCCAAACTCAAGCATCAGTACTACAATTAAGCAGTATAGTTAAACTCAGGAACAATGCTCTTTTGTTGCTTCGTTACTTGCCGCCGTATCTTTCTTCGCTCTCCCGTTCCTGAACTGTGTACGGTCTTCTGACCTTGGCTTGCCTTTTCTCCGCTCGCTTGCCTTGCTTCTTTTGTTTATCTTCGTTCCTCTCCCGCCCTTGTCTTTCACCTGCCTCTTTCGTTCTTCCCTCACCCCCTGCCTTCCCACCAAATTGGCAGAAACAAATTGGCTCTACTTTAGCATATACTTCGTTATAGGTTCAATTTTGAATGGAGATCATTGCAAGCCAAGCCAAGTGTCGGTATGTTTCGAGAGCGTGGCAATCAAATCCAGCTAACCTCTGAATCAGTTGCCCTACCAGCCAGAAATGCTGCGAAGATGGTCTTCTGCAAACAATAACAAGCGTGCAGGGCGGTGTACAGAGCGAACCCCGAAAGGATGCCTCTGGAAATCAATCCCATCCGGAAGCGCAGCGCGCCTGGTAAGAGTGGATGCAGCTCTGGGCACTGGCTGCCCCTGATGTGGCAATCACGAGGCTAGCCTGGCGGAGTTCCAGCCCATTCAGGCCCTCTGACCAGCTTGGGAACATCTAGCAGTACGTTGACCAAACTTAGCAGAACTTACAAGAACTGTACGGAATCCTGCAGCATGCAGGGGGCACAGGGGGTAAGACAGACAGACATACAGAATGAGGTGTAGATGATAGATGATATGGATGGAGAGAGCAAGAAAAAGAGACATAGACAACACCTGGACCAAAAGGTTAAACTCGGATGGTATAACACTCTACGCGTCATCGAATGCATGCACAAGGAAGTCATGTGCCTGCACACGTTCTGCTTGCGTTATTTGTTGAAATTCAGAGGAACCCGCCGTTTCATCGGCAGATATCAGCAGCAGCGGCCCTGAGACTCAGCGTTCAACATCACTTTCGCTCACCATGCAAAATCCTCCCTGAAGTCGGGCTCCAGCTGCTGCGAACGAAATGGACAACATGCGCTGCTGGCCCGGACTATACCAAGGAGGCCCAGGCGGACAGAGCGAAGCCCTGCAAAGTTGTTGTTTGTTTTACTGGTTTTTCCTCATTTGCCACTTGTGTGTGGAAGCATATAGAAGCACATACACAAACTTTGCTGCATATCTGTGCTTCCTATGACATCGAACATCCCAGGGAGACAGGGAGCAATTAGCTGCGGTGGCCGGGCAAGTGAAGCACCAAGATTTAAGGCAAGTTTCAATGATGCGTAGCTGGAGTCCTCCCAGCTCTAAGATGCCGAAGCCTCTCACACGTCAGGCCCCTGCACATCACCCATGTTTTTGTGCCTGGACTGCTAGAGCTGCTCCGTTCACTTAAATACTTAAATAGTTAAGTCTTGAAGTTAAATCAGGGGGGACCTGTACGGTAGACCGGCCTGAAAATGTCCAGGACAGCAGGGGCTGGCACTTGCAGGTACCTGGATGTCTTTAAAAGCAAAATCAAATCGATCTGGAACCATCCACTTCTGCAAAAAAAGCGCAAAGAACCCACCCTGCTCAGGCAAGGGAACACCATGCATATGACCACCAACTGGCACCTTCTGACTGCACCCAGGCATGGATGCCTGGGTGCTAGTGCTGGGCCGTTGGGAAGTCTCGCACGGCTACATGTCATTAACATGTCACCACGAGAGCTATCGGCAAATCCAAAGAATGAACTTCATTTTTGTGTCACCAGTTCGTTTTGCACT